TTTAGTTCATATAGTGTAAGAACAGGTATTTTGAAGAGTTTTATCGTTTGATTGATTGAAAAATTTTTGAAAGCTTCTAGCATTTACCTGGTTCAAACTCTCAGCACTCCCATCCAACAAGCAGATGGCAATAAAAAACATGGCCTAAGCATATCTTCACCCTGGTAGCTCCAGTTTCCACCCCCACAGTTGGTTTTAGACTAGATATTGTGGTCAAGGTTCAGCTGAGGCTAATAGCCAGGAAGAATTTTGTCCTTTCCGCTGCTGGTTCCTTAATCAACACCAGGTACAATCAATCTTTAGCCTAGCAATTTCTATTCAATACTTTACCAGGTTGTATCTTTTCATTCCAGCCATGGCTGTAGTCTGTGAAAGACACACTGTAGAGGGGTATTGGAAACATCAGGAGGGTAACAGAGCACCTGGCACCATAAGGTAAGAAAAAGCAAGGTCAAGAAAACAGAAAAGAACTTATCACTCCAGAATGTAAAGTCACTTATCAGGGCAACATCAGGAAGCAAAAAAAACCCAATAGCATACAAGTCATAGAATTCAGGACCACAATTACACAAGACAGTTGTTGGGTCAAAGTCAAACCCTTGGCAATGCAGTCTAGAGACATGATAAAAAGCCACAGGTAATAAAATCCCTTTATATGAAGCCTCAGTAAGGCAACCTACTTACAAAAAAAAATTTACCCAGGCCCCAGCTCATCAGCTTGCAGAAACTGCAGAGGTAGCTGCAGGCTTGCCAAAGCCTCGTGGTAATTCTGGAACTGGCTCAGATTAACATGAACGCCTTAAAACTGATCTGGTTCCATGATTGCCTGACTCTTATTCCTATTAGCCATCCCTGACCGATGCATTTATACTGTAATCTTGCATAACCTCAGACAGGGTCTCCTCTGGAAACAAGAATTTGCTTTTTCCTATTTATTCTCCCACTGACACCTACTGTATTGAAAAACAATTTTAGCTTGAGTGCATATTTTTCTGCCTGTGATCTGAGTTCCTATAGAAAGTCTGATCTTTTTTGTGTATTACTTTCTTGCATCTGATGATTTCAGAATACTTAGCCAAGCAAGTAGGTACTTCAGAAAGAATTGTCACACGAAAACAGATGTTCTGACAAAAAAACCAGTGCAAAGATCCTAATGATTTTTGATTAATGACTTGAATTTTCCATCTACATAAACAACTCTTACTTTTAAGACTATGAACTAATACACCCTCTGGTTATGCTTGACATTACACGTCTTAAAAGAATACATTTACAAGGTTGATTTGTTTGTTGTTTTTTTTTTTACTTGACTACATTGGTACATTCCTATATATTACATTCCTATTTACTAAAACCCCAGTTTTGTACACGATCTGAATGGAGGATCCTGCACTAAGGAGTTGCAGGGAAGGCCTCTGTCTGGAGAGGCTGGGGCTGCCCTGTGCTGGACACAGCAAGTTCCAGAGACCTCTGCAACAGCCCCACTGCAGGACATGCCTGAGCCCCAGGGTGGTGCATTGGGGAAAACATATGTGAAAAATACCACGTAGTGAGAGGAGGAGAGAACAAAAATAGTGAGGAAACACTCTGAAAATCTCGAGGTCAGAGAAGAAGGAGGCACGCCAGGAGCCAGAGCAAAGATTCTCTTCCAGCCTGTGGAGAGGACCCCATGACAGGGCTAGCAGAGATTTCCTCAGGGAACTGTGGCCTCTGGAAGGACAGACATTGAAGCAGGGAAAAAGTATGAGGAGTAGGAGTAGCAGAGAGAAGCTGTTACAGACTGACTGCAGCCCCCACCTCCCTGTGCTTTTCCAGGGGCAGAATTGGGCAGAGGAGTGGGAAGAGAGGTTGAGAATGAAGACATAAACATAAGCCTGGGAGAGAGGGAGGAAAGATATTTTAATGTTTATCTTTGATTCTTACCACCCAAACCTCTTTTACTTGGAAAAAATTTAAATTACTTTTACTCACATCAAGTCTGTTTTGCCTCTGACAGTAACTGGTAATTGATCTCCCTGCCTTTGTCTCGACTCACAAGCTTTCTTATCATACTTTCTCTTCCTGTCCTGTTGAGGAGGAATGGTGAGTGACCAGGTGGGAGTTTGGCCTTTAACCAAGGTTAAACCACGAAGCACATGTACTAAGTTCCCCTTTAGGGACCAGGAAACTAAATAACTTATTGTGAATACTAAACGAAGTTTTCAACCATCAGATCCATGTTGTAGACTCAACTTGCTAAAAAACTCAAAGAAATTTTTTCATACTTTTTGTCAAGAAACAAATTAACAAAGGTTTTCAGTTCTGTTTTTTAAGCATAAAAAACCCTGATAACATCATTTTTGTCTGTTTCTGAGTCTAAGATCAATAGATCATTTCAGTTTCACTGAGTCTAAAATGTATACGGAAAGCTCCTTTGAACAGTATGGGAGTGCTTTTCTCAATATTGCCTAAAGTTACTTTAGAAAAAAAGTATTTGGAGTTCCATGGGATTGGATCCAGAGAGTGCTGTCTTTTAATGAGGGAATATTCTTCACCAGCATATATTACCTTATTGAATAATTATTTTTAAAATTTTGCATGAGTTATGATAATGTCTTCCAGCAATTAAAAAAAAAATTGTCTTCTTCTCTAGATTTATTTAGCTTAAAATATGTACCATTTAAGAAAGCATAACTGCATGTATACAATACTTATTTATGTTATGAATCATCTGTCACATATTTGGAAGGTTTATCTGTTATCAAGACAAGAGACATCCTACCCAAAGTGTGCTAATTTGACAGAAGTATGTTCCTGATTATCAGCTAAATAAGTTTTTCCTTTAAGGTTCTCAACTTTCATTTGATTATTCATTCAACATAGTTTTTACTTTCCTTGATAAATCATAAAATCTTAAAAAAGAAGAAAGAAGTCACTGTTAATGTTTAAATTCACTGAACAATTCTACCACGGATTGCACTATGACATTTTTACAATGTAATTTAACAGTGAAAATTATAAACAGAGAACTAATTTTTATAGATATGACTCCCCCTATTTTATTCCTTAAGTTTTTTTCATCTTATAAAGTGGTTTATTTTGTCAGGCACTCACATTTTCTTGGTTCTCATTAAGAGGTGAAGAAACATGAATCTTTTCCAATTGAGATATCTAGCCATTAGAATAACATAAACATGTATTTAAATAAACAAAGAAAACACTACTAGAAAATACTAAAATGGCAAAAGTTGCCATTTTAACAGTGGCAGATTTAGGTTTTTGCAAAGCATTTCCAATCCTTAGTAATAACTATATGCCTTCCAGCTATAGAAAATAATGATGTTCTTAGGTTTAGAAAATATATAAAATTTTTTTTCAAGCATAATTCATTTTCATTTGAGGACCACCTGGAGGACTAATACAGAAAAGAACAGTTCCAGTCTTTAGACTGTGCTGGTCATTACAGTAGGAGAACTTAAATAAGTAATGTACATACTTGTCAACATCTGAAAGGCAAAGATGCATGCCTATTCTGGAAACATAACACAATTCAGAAGGAAAACACACATTTGCTAGCTTCTAGACTTTAATTCCAGCTTAATTTGTATTAAATGAGATTTAGATTCTGCGTTACTTACACATTTCAGTTCATTAGATCTGCCTTTATGCAGTTGCTTTATATCATGTTTTTATTTGGTTATTTTCCAATAAAGATATCAGTACATACAGTACTGTATTTTTATTATCTGTGTAATGGACAAAGCTTTGAAAAGATCAGTTAAACTGAAAAATTCACAGTCTTGTGAAGTTACTTATGATGTGTCTAATTTTAACTCCATAAGCCTCAATAAAGTTCATTGAAGCTGTCTAGAAATGATTAGTAATGAAAGAAATTATGATGTTGGAAAGTCATATCTGAGAGAATAATCTATAAGGCATACTTAAATGCTCACGATGAGCAGAAGATCTAAACAAATGGTGAGGCTACCAAAATAAGGAAAGGATATCTAGTAATCTATGACTATGTCAGCAAAGGCTGCATCCACATGGCTCATAGACCTATTTTAAAATTGAGAACATCAATATCCAAATTTAAGTGTCCCACCATCTTGTGGGATCATCAAATCTATCGAAACAAGGGATATGTACTATGTACAATATGGAAAAACTTAATAACAGAGAAGAAGACATAGTGTGTCACAGTCCGATCTTTTAAATATCGCCACATCACTGAATTCTTTTGTTATCTGTATTTAAGTTGAATTTCCTTACATACATTGCTTTCCTCTTGTATGATGGCTGTTTCAAAACCTCCTTTCTCCTCATTATACAGTAATCTATACTTTATACTGTTTTATTCTGACATCTTTTTTGTTCTAACAGCACCTTCAGTATTAGTCTCTCTTTCAGCACAGGCTTAAAGAAAACACTCAACTTCTCTCTCAGTGTTTTGATAGCTCTTCAATGTTTGTTAAATCCACCATTGTTTAGATCTTCACAAATAAGCTGTGTCTCTGCCTTTTCACAACTACTACCTCCCCCTCCAGAAAAGATGGTCTGACTTGCTCAAGTGAAGTCTAATCATTGCCTTGCACAATAATTTGTTTGATTTTAAACATTGCAATGACAAAAAAATTGCATTTTTTTTTGTTCTTAATTCCTCTTATTTCTTTAGCTGTGGTTTATCATGTCTTCCATTTTCCTATATCCTTAGTTATCCATAATTGCTGTTCTAGTAAGGTATGTCTCTTGGAGACAGTCCTGTGCAGGGCTAAGACTTGGACCTGATAATCCTTGTGAGTCCTTCCAACTCAGCATATTCTATGGTTCTGTTATTTTTGGTGCTTCTAATACTTAAAAAAAACTCAGACCAAAACAAAAAAACAACCAAAAAAAACCCAAAAAAACCAACCAAACAAAACCCTCTATCATGTTAAATAAATGCAACAGTCAACATACAACAACTACTTAATATTGACACTTTAATAAAAGGATTGAACAGCCATCTTTGGGGATTCTTACCTATTTGACCTTCTACCTGTCCATCCTATTTTGTAAAGAGAAAAGACAAAGAAAAGCAAAAGTTATATTAGGGTTGAGATTGCTTTTATTTCTAGAGATCAGTCATGTGAGATGAATTAAAATAAATAAATAAAGGTACTTTCTCCAATATGATGAAAAAACCCTCAGGTTCTCAGAATTCAGTTTTATTCATCTAACTCCTATAGTACAGGGACACCAAAATAAAATTTAATTAAGATCAAAAATGTATACAGATGATACTACCATTACTAAATAAACAGACTGCAATTCTTAGTCTCAGAGGAAAAAAGATAAAATACAGCGGCACCTTTTTACTCTTTTATAATCAGCTTTAAAAATATAAAATTCAGTATTTGAATTCCTTATAGTGATTAATACATTCATACCGATTTTCTGCTTCTTCCTTGCAGATACATTGCAGCAATGAGTCTATTATTGTTCGTTTGACTAACTGCACATCCAGCTATTACAGATCACTTTGAAGCTTTCATAAAGTGTGAGAGAGAACATTCTTTTTAAGTACTTTCAGTGCCTGCCAATTTGATAAATACATGCATTTACTGTCATAAATACATGCAAGGTTTAGAAAATGAGGGATATTATAAAATGTGTTCCTACATTTTTACAATTTTTTGACAGTTTTACTCAAGGTATATGTGTCAGAGTGTGACTGAGGCGTGTTACACAGCTAATGGTTCCTAGAGAAACAATACTTATTAACCTTAAGTATTTTCAAAAAAATACAAGTCCATGCTTTTAAGAATGAGATGGAATATTCATGTACTTTCTGTAGAATAAAAATTTATTATACGACTTGTATTTTCGCTGGTGTAAAAGCAGATGACACCCTCATTTGCAGTTACTTAATCTCAACTTTGAACAGTCTGTTGCATTAAAGTAAATGTGTGTGCTTCTTTTTTCCCAAATTACCTTTAGTTCTTTTTCATTCCTCAGTCATACTTTTGTCTTGATATTCAATATGCTCCTGGCACAAGGCCATTCTCAATTCCCTAGTTCTGAAGGGAGAAAATAATTCAGTGTCACACGTGTTTTCTCAATAAGGGTATTTGATTTTACCCATTCACTACTAATATTGAGGTTATTTTGTCAGCTTGTTTTTGCTTCTTCACTTTTCTGGCTTCGCATTTGGTAGAAAGTGAAATCAAGACATAAAATGAACAAGTTTCTACCAATTTGGAATTATTTTTTTTTCCTGATATGAGAGGCAGACTGATGAAGTGTAAAGCAAAAAGTTTTAAAAAAAATTATAATGTTATTCAAATTAGAAGATAATCAAACTTTAAAAAAAGTTTTTTAAAAAATATGTTATTCAAATTAGAAGATAATCAAGCTTTAAAAAAAGAAAGCAATTGTTATTTTTGTGATTGAGGAGCAGACCTAATTTGTAAAATGGCAGTAAATGGCTTTTGCTAGAAAGCTACTTTGTTCTGTCTTGCAGGTAACACTGATCTAAGGTCAGTGATTTCAGAAACTTCTAGTATCCAAGTTGAAAGACCCAAGACCTTTATACTGCATTTCTCAACTGAAAATTCTGGCTGTTATGAGTGAAAATAGGTACATTCCTTATGGTCCTCTGTTGCTGCCAAGTATTTGGCACCGTTGCCATGTAGTACTCTACGGAGAAAGCAGTTTCTAGGTTTTTTTCCTTTTATTTTCATATTTCCATAAAAAAAATTTAGAGAAAAATTTTCTTCCTTTTCTTCCCTCTCAGTACTTACATAAAAAAATATTATTTCCAAGTCAATTATGAAATTTCATTACTGTTCAAACATGTAGTTAATCATGGATAAAAATGGCTTAAAAGGATTTTTCTTAATTTACAGTCAGTTCAAACAATTCCTTGAGAGATTTGTTGACATATATATCTGCAAATGGGAAATAAACATATTTTTAAAATAAATAAATAAGATCAAGTCTACATCTAAAATTTACAAAAGCTTAGTAATTATAGTGTCATGACATCAGTTTGGTCCATAGCCCACATGTGGTGCTTTGATATTGAAGTGCATAAAGTTAACAGATGAGAAGAAAGACTGCCTGGTGTTTGGAGAGTCTTGAAAATATCTCCACCTGGTAGGAAATGTGAGGGACAAACTATTCCTTTTCAGAATGACTTACCTTGATTTAGTGTTTTAAAGTGTGAGCTTTAATTAAAAGAAAAAAACTTGAATGACTAATTGCCATTGACACCTAAATATGTTCTTACTGAGTAAATAACTGACTAAAAACAACTTTTAAAAAAACACCTATTTCTTACAGCATTCCAAGGAATTGAATGCATCTCCCAGCAGGAGTTGATGTTTTAATGATATAACACCATGCCTCCTATAAAGAAGCCTGATGTCAGGAAGCATTGTAGGAAAAATAATTTGTCAAGACTTGAAAAGCACAGCACCAATAGATTCAGATAGTCTGACTTCCACTTTAAGGCAAGATTTACTTTCTTCCAGATCAATTGAGCTTCTGTTAATCACTTTTTTTAGCAAGACAAAATCAGAACCAACCTTTTAATGATACAGGAGTGCTCGTTTCATTACTGTGTTCAAGTAATACAGAATACACCTCCAGCCCAGACTTGAAAATAAAGTGAAAGTGCATTTAGTTTTGTGTTGTGCATGTATATATAATTATATAATATTAATAAGTGTCCAGTTGCAATGGAATCTTTTTTGATAATTTTTTCAGTTCCACTTTAGTTTACAGTACCCAGTAAACATCCTTGTTTATCAAGCAGTTCAAACATCGAAAAAATTAGTATGTCCACATTTACAACGGACATGCACATAGTTAAAAATAGTGTGGAGGCTGCACACTGTTATTCTGATCTGCTCTGATTGGCTCAGGGATACGGGGAGTGGGGGCTATGGTCAGTTCATCATACATTGTTCCTGTTGCTGCTCAGGGAGGAGAATCCTTCCCCTGGTCCCCATGGGATCCCTCCCACAGAAGACAGTCCTTCACAAACTTCTCCAGTGTGAGTCCATCCCATGGACAACAGATCTCCATGAACTGCTCCAATGTGGATCACTTTCCCATGAGACAGAGTCCTTTAGGTACAGACTGCTTCAGTATAGGTGTCCCACAGGGTCACAAGTCCTGCCAGCAAACCTGCTCCACCTTGGGCTTCTCTCTCCATGGGTCTGCAGGTCCCTGCCAGGAGCCTGATCCAGCTCAGGTTTCCCATGAGTTCACAGCCCTCTCTTGGGCATCCACCTGCTCTGGTGTGGGTCTTCTCCACGGGCTGCAGATGGATCTCTGCATACCTGGTGTCCTCCATGAGTTGCAGGGGCACAGCTGCTTCACCATGGGCTGAAGGGGAACCTCAGCTCTAGCATCTGAAGAACCTCATTCCCCTCCCTCTTCATTGACCCTGGTGTCTATATAGTTGTTCCTCTCATATATTCTCACTCCTCTCTTCTCTGGCCACAATTTCAACTGCACAATAACTTTTTCCTTTTTTTTCTCATTTTTAAATATGTTATCACCACCATTTCTTATTGGTTCAGACTTTGCCAGTGGCACATCCATCTTGGATGTGTCTGGCACTGGTTCTGCCAGACATGGAGGAAACTTCTAGCAGTTTCTCAGAGAAGACACTCCTGTAGCCCCTCCACCACCAAAACCTGTCCATAAGGTTTTGGTAGTGCATAAGAAGAAATACGGTATACTGAACCACCCCCATCCCCCCTCTTCTTCACTTACCAACACAGAATTAAGACATACCATTTTTTTTTCATTGTTCATAGCATTTAGCTGAGATTTATCATCTAGAATTAACCTAGACAGCAATTAAATATTCTCGCATTTCTTAAAAGAATCTTGAAATATACATACAGAACAATTTTAACGATGAACTTTTTTGTTAAGCACAAACTCCAACACTGTAAAATGTGACCCTCTAGGGGAACAGGCTAAAAACGATTAATTTGATGTAGACACTGATTTAACTTGTTTCTGAAATAAATATAGTGGAATGTAAATAACAATTACATTACCTAGCAAGTTCCTCTAACTGTACCAGCTGCCTTCTTCCCACATTCTGTCTCCAATCTCATTTAGTGTTTGATTGACCAAGGCACTGTTGACAGCCTGGCAGCAAAGTTGACCTCTGTTCAGAAGGCAAACTGTTTGTGTTACCATGGCAAATAATGGGAGGGTGGCTATTTTCATGAGTGGCTAATTTTCATGAGTGGCTAATCTTCATAAGGTTTGTTGTTTTTTTTTTCTGTAACAAGTCTTTGCTGGTACAAAAAAAAAAAATAGTTACCATAAGCAGTAGCTCCCTAGTAAGCTATGTTTTGATTTAAGAAACAATGCTATGTGACTTTTTTCTCACAAGTTTTCTGTAGGTACCTGTTTTTAAAAATACATGCAAAAAGGTAAGGAAAATGCTAAGTACAAATAAAAACATGCAAAATTTGAAAGTGAAAGGCTATGCTTTTAAGGAAAATCAGTAATTTTTTGCTTAAAGTATGATGAATCAAAAATCGTGTTTATCCATGCAGTTATAACAAGAGCTTAATTAATATAAACAGTTTTGGGGGCTGTATCATATCACAATACAAGTTGAAACGGTTTAGAACGCCTTTTTCTATAAAGCACAGGGTAAAATGTGATGTCTTTCAAAAATTAAATGCATGTTTAAAAGGTTAACTTTAAATATTTGGTGGCAAAAAGTTTGTAACAATTAATTTTCACTTTGAACAAATACCTAGCTCTTTGCTATTCAAAGAAAACCTTCCTCATATTTACACTTTTGAAGTTCTCAGAGCTTATCAGAGGCAAATTTACAGTAAAATAACCTAAAGTAATGACTTCCTCCCAAGCTTTAGACATCTTGGCAGTTTATAGAGTCAGCACAGATGACAGTAATGAGCTTTTAAGAACTTAATCTGAAGCAGGGGGAAGATTCATCATTTATCTTAGGCTTTTGAGTGTGATTCTTCACCAATCTCTTCTGATTAATAAAATTGCTCTGTTACATTAAAGGGTAAGAAAAAGTTTTGTGTCTTTGCTTTTTCTTGTATTGCTCTAAGACATTGATTCATTGATTACACTTGAACAAAGCGTGCTCATGAAGAACAAAAAAAAAAAAATCACAGAGTAAGAAGGGTAAGGCACCCACCAGCTCATACATTTCCCACTCTGACAGGTAAATGATATAAAAGCTGTCCTCACAGCTACTCAAGCATGACTCCATTTCTTATACAATATCTCAGAATTACTTTATTGAGAAGAAATAGGAGATGAAGCTAAAGAGATTTTATTTACAAAGCAAGTTAATGAGTTTGCCTCCAGAAGTGAGGAAACTTTTGGGTTCACTAAGAAGTCAAGGCAAGCAGCTGCAGTGGTCCCCTGCTATCAGGAAGGTGTGTGACACTTGTACTACAGCTGTTCTCCAAGTCTCCCATCCTATTTGATGCCAAATAGACACTGTAAAAGTCATTACCAGCTCTAAAATCATTTAACAACAGAATAACAATGTTTGTTTTGATGATTCAGATGCTGTTGACCTATGAGAAAGTGAGGAAGAAAAATAGGTCAGACAGGACTTTCTAAGGAAGTAAGAGACTTAGATTATTAACTGCCGTAGAAAACAGTAAAGAATGGAATAAGAGAGGGAATGTACTTTTTCCCAATATTTTAAATTTTCTTTCTTAACTATTTTATTTAAAAAGAGAAATCATAGCAAAGATCATGGAGCCAAAGGAGAAATTTGACTGATATGACAGACAACATAAAAGATCTAGACAGTGCAGTTTGAAAACATAGCAATTACCAGGAAAAAAATTATGTTGGCTATAACTGCATTTGAATTAAATATTTTACATTTCTTCGCTAGAAAGACCACCTACCTTGAGGGCAAGATTTCTGATTCTACATTTAATTTTAACTAGGCAAGTTTTAACCACGTGTTTTAGTTCCTTATTTTTGTGGTTGACAAGAAACAGTTATTTATGATACTGTTTCACATTGAAACTTCTCACCATCACACAGAATTGAGCATCAAGTTCCATACACTAACTAAAGGCTAAATCACTAACTACAAACCATAAGGATGCAGTTTAGAGGTTTTACTTCTTGCTTCAAGAAACTTATAAATTCAGTAGAAATAATGTTTTTAAAGAATATAGCTGTAGGTAAGACAGAAAAAACCACAAAAATTATTTCCACCTTATTAAAAATAAGGGGTAGATTCAGTACTCTGTATAATATGTTTTCCTGCTACACCCACATACTGAGGTACAGCATGAGAAGACAAACCCTCCTCCTGCTTTGAACAGTAAAGGTATACAGTGCATTCTACCATTATTTTTTTCTTTTTTTAATGTAATCCTATAGAAATTATTTTAATTCAAATGTTAGTAAACAAGTTATCAAAAAAAAGGAAAAATAAGACAAATTCTTGTGGGTTTAATACACATGATATAAAATATTAATTACTTTAGGAGTTAGAACTACTTTGCAGAGTGTGTTGCTTAATATAAAATATTTGTATTCTTATTTTGAGTAAACAGATATTTCTACTCAGTGTCCCTATTTGGAGAAAAAGCTGACAAAAATATTGAAAATTAGAGGTTTGGTGTACATGACAGCGGGTTAAAATAGAGCATATTTGGAACAGAGCTTTGCACCATGTAGCTCTTGCAATACGCTGGGTGGGTTACACAGAGTAAAGGGAATCTAGTTTTTTACGTTGTTGTATTCAACAGCAGTTTACAGGATTAGCCTTTCTTTATTTGGAGACTAAAATAATGCAGTAATCCTAAGTGCAGCCCGGGATCTCAAGTTCAGACTCCATAGTACAGTCTGATAAACGTCTACAGGTAAACCATATAGTTCTTTATCTGTTATGGAAATCCAAATTTTTGTTAAAAACAAAAATATTTTAACCTTCTTTAAATGCAAATGTGTATCAAATGTTTTTTATCTTAGGAAGCTGTCATGTGATTGAAATCTTAAGGCTATTTCTTGTTCTAGTAATTATAAGAAGCTTATATAAATTTTTATTATGTTTAACATTCTTATGTCATTTAACTCCATCTGTTCCTATCTTTGTTCTCACAATTTACCAGGTAACTGTTTCAGAAGACAGTACATATGTCCAGTGACTAGCAACTAGCACGTCCAGTGCAAGATAACATTTTCTCTCTGAATGGATTAAATTGCCAACGGAACTCTCATTTGAACAAATGAAAAATGGTAATATAGAATAATCAAATACTTCATAGTTCATCAGAATTATAAATTGCTTTACCAAGATGTAAAATAAATTTCAGCAAACTGATCATAAAATTGTGTTCCACTAAGAAATAATCTGTAACATGGTAGGAACAAAATTCTTATTATGTAGCTCTTCCTGACTGTCAGCCTAGGGCATAGAGCACAAATCCAAGTAACACTAGGTAATCAACACCAGGAAGATGTGTCTGGCAGCAGTGAATCTCTGGTATATGAAATCATTTTTCAGATTAAAAGACAGGTGCTTTGTGGAAGAGTTAAGGCTAGAAACATTTCTCACTGATTACATATACTGTTTGCCTTTGGATTTCTCCCTTTTCAAATATATGAA